TCTCTCTCTCTCTCTTCCCCTCTTTGGTCCTCTCTCTCTCTCTCTTCCCCTCTTTGGTCCTCTCTCTCTCTCTCTTCCCCTCTTTGGTCCTCTCTCTCTCTCTCTTCCCCTCTTTGGTCCTCTCTCTCTCTCTCTTCCCCTCTTTGGTCCTCTCTCTCTCTCTCTTCCCCTCTTTGGTCCTCTCTCTCTCTCTCTTCCCCTCTTTGGTCCTCTCTCTCTCTCTCTTCCCCTCTTTGGTCCTCTCTCTCTCTCTCTTCCCCTCTTTGGTCCTCTCTCTCTCTCTCTTCCCCTCTTTGGTCCTCTCTCTCTCTCTCTTCCCCTCTTTGGTCCTCTCTCTCTCTCTCTTCCCCTCTTTGGTCCTCTCTCTCTCTCTCTTCCCCTCTTTGGTCCTCTCTCTCTCTCTCTTCCCCTCTTTGGTCCTCTCTCTCTCTCTCTTCCCCTCTTTGGTCCTCTCTCTCTCTCTCTTCCCCTCTTTGGTCCTCTCTCTCTCTCTCTTCCCCTCTTTGGTCCTCTCTCTCTCTCTCTTCCCCTCTTTGGTCCTCTCTCTCTCTCTCTTCCCCTCTTTGGTCCTCTCTCTCTCTCTCTTCCCCTCTTTGGTCCTCTCTCTCTCTCTCTTCCCCTCTTTGGTCCTCTCTCTCTCTCTCTCCCCCTCTTTGGCTCTCTCTCTCTCTCTTCCCCTCTTTGGTCCTCTCTCTCTCTCTTCCCCTCTTTGGTCCTCTCTCTCTCTCTCTCTCTCACTCATATGTTTTATATATAGAATGTTTGCACTTCTGCCTCTGATGCTGTTAACATTTTTTTACTCTATATTTGTAAAAAAATATATACAGAATATTTCTTGTCCATCCACTTAACAGATGTCACTTTTTAACAGGCCAAGTCTCAACAGGAAAAACGACTCTGGATTTTGCATTTGAAAAGGCTGATATTGGAGAATCACCCTGCTAAAATACCAGCCAAGGTTTGTACACACACATGACATAGTTATGCTAAGGGTGAAATGCAGCCTGGGTGGCTGATTTAAGAAAACGGGAGCTTCTTGCCCCCAGGCAAATCAGTTAATACATAGCTGGAAAAGTGCACAATAGGAGGTCTGCCCAAAACAAAATCCCCCGCTATGTAGCCCTACTCAGCCACAAAGGAAACCTATTAAAGTTATTTGAGTAGAGATTTTTCTGTTGCTATTCCATATGCAGCATTGGAATAGCCTCCACTGTTTAATAGTGCATGTAGTACGTCCCAGTGTGGCTACTCTTATAGATTAGAATAAAAACATGGAATACTTGATATGGCATGCAGGTTCCATATACACTTGTAGATGCATACAACTGAGACCTTGACTTCATCTTTGAATTAGAAATAAATTCCCTTTGCTGACAATCACAGATGCATGTTGGATAGTAACCAATCCATCTTTATTTGTCAGCTGAAATATATAATCTGCTGAAGGTAATTACTCTGCATTTACTATGGTATAATTTGCTTTATTTTTTAAAAACTCATCTGCTGTGTGCTTTAACTCTTTCATAGAAGACATTGTGTAATTTTATATTGGGTACAAAGTGAACACTAAGTTTTATTTTTCTGAAATATCAGTTTGTACATTAAAAATGACACTTAAAGGCAGTCAAAATGCATAATATAAAAAAATAAAATAAAATCCATTGCACAGTTAGTAGGTTAGGGTATACAGGACAGATAGGCTTGTAGTGACACCTAGTGGTGCATTTGCATAGCATTTGTTGTTTCGACTATATGCTATGGGAATGTTCCATATGAAGTGTATGAAAATGTGTGCAGCTAATGTAAAAAATCGGTATTTAATCTGAAGCACTTTATCATTTTGGAGAGTTTTACATACATATATTTCCAAGGGAGCATTTTGCGACCTGTCCCTGTGTGTATTTTGTACTGGTGGAGCGCCTTATGCTGGCCAGAAACTCCATTCATCATGGTTTTGGACCAGGCTTTAGGTTCATCAAAGGATGGATAACCTTTTAAAAGCCAGTGAGGAATTCACTTAAAACTCTACCATGTGAAAATTAGATTTATCCTTTTTACTTTTGGAGAGAATTGGTAGATTAGTGGTTAAAATTGTGTGTGTATGTAGATTTAACATTTTATTTATTCAGTTTTGTGTTCCTAAGAACAATAATCCTAACTGGAAGATGGAAAAAAGTGACTTTGTTTGAATAATTTGAAAAAAAAAATAATGTGACTGTTGATTAAGCACTCTAAAAAAAACATGGCATTTTTATTTATGTATGACTATAAGTTACTACACTCCTACACTTAGTATTTAAGTATAAATATCTAACTGTGATACTAAAATAACCTGACTATTTTTATTTGTAGGCAAAGCAAGCTATTCTAGAAATGGATGCAATACGTAAGTTTTCCTGTGTTTTTTTTTGTTTTTGTTTTTTGCAATTCGCATCTGTGATGTTTGTAATAACTTTTTAGAAAAATAAAGTAAAATAGGGATATGTTATACTGTGTGTGTGTGTGTGTGTGTGTGTGTGTGTATGTATGTATGTATATATATATGTATGTATGTATGTATGTATATATGTATGTATGTATGTATGTATGTGTGTATATATATACATA